ATATATGTTAACGCAATGTTATCATTAATATTTTAAAAACAAAGTCATAGTGCTAAGTGACATCTGAGTTTTAGCACTAGGTTTCCTTTAGTATTAAGAAGGTTGTAAGGAACTATGCTACTTATAGTCTTGCTTAAACTCTAGTAAAAACTATCTGCACATTTAAGAAATGATAAATTAGTATTTGGTGGTATTAATATTGCCTCTGTGACACTGTACTAGACATTAAATCTTACTGATGAGGATTTTGTTGATTTAAAGACAGAAGGACTGGAAACAATCTGCTCCTGCAGACTATAGTAATCACTTGGACTTTCAAAGGGGTTTAGGACAGTGGCCCGTCCTGGAGTCTTTGGTGTTATTTGCATTTTAGTTTCTTTTGCATCTCCCATAGCACAGAGCTGCACCTAGAAGAAAACAATTTTTTTAGTTACAATTTAGGAAGCTACATTTTTCATTTTGAGTCACCCTTAGTTTTAGGAAAAGACAAGAAATCATATCATTTTTCCATCTGTCAAGCGATTAAAACAATTAATTGTGACTAATCTCTCAATTAAAAAAATTAATTGTGATTAATCATGCAACTGCGCTGTTAAACAATAATTGAATGCCAATTATTTAAATATTTTTGGATGTTTTTTACATAATCAAATATATTGATTTCAATTACAAAACAAAATACAAAGTGTACAGGGCTTACTTTATATTTATTTTTTATTAAATATTTACACTGTAAAAAACAAAACAAACAGTATTTTTCAATTCACCTAAGTACTGTAGTGCAATCTCTTTATCATGAAAGTTGAACTTACAAATGTAGAATTATGTACAAAAAATAAGTGTATTCAAAAACAAAACAATGTAAAACTTTAGATCCTACAAGTCCACTCAGTCATACTTCTTGTTCAGCCAATCGCTAAGACAAACAAGTTTGTTTACATTTGCAGGAGATAATGCTGCCTGCTTCTTGTTTACAACGTCACCTGAAACTGCGTCCATGCTGATGGCGAGCTCTGCTCAACAACGATCCAAAACAGCGCGACCCGACACATGTTCATTTTCATCATCTGACTCAGATGCCACTAGCAGAAGGTTGATTTTCTGTTTGGGTTCTGTAGTTTTCTCTTTTAAGACTTCTGAAAGCATGCTCCACACCTCATCCCTCAGGTTTTGGAATGCACTTCAGATTCTTAAACCTTGGGTCAAGTGCTGTAGCTATCTTTAGAAATCTCATATTGGTACATTCTTTGTGTTCTGTCAAATCTGCAGTGAAAATGTTCTTAAAACTAACATGTACGGGGTCCTTATCTGAGATGGCTATAACATGAAATATATGGCAGAATGCGGGTAAAACAGAGGAGACATACAATTCTCCCCCAAAGAGTTGAACAACAAATTTAATTAACGTATTTTTTTTTTTTTTAAACAAGCATCATCAGCCTGGAAGTATGTCCTCTGGAATGGTGGCCAAAGCATGAAGGGGCATACGAAATTTTAGTATATCTGGCAAGTAAACACCTTGCAATGCCAGCTACAAAAGTTTAGGTTTCAGAGTAGCAGCCGTGTTAGTCTGTATCCACAAAAAGAACAGGAGTACTTGTGGCACCTTAGAGACTAACAAATTTATTTGAACATAAGCTTTGTGGGCTACAGCCCACTTCATCGGATGCATAGAATGGAACACACAGAAAGGAGATATTTATACATACAGAGAACATGAAAACGTGGAGGTAGCCATACCAACTGTAAGAGGCCAATCAATTGAGATGAGCTATCATCACCAGGACAAAAAACAACAACAAACTTTGAAGTGATAATCGAGATGACCTATAGAAGATGTGAGGATACTTAACATGGGGAAATAGTACCTACATGCTCCAGCTTCCATCCAGGACACACCACACGATCCATTGTCTACAGCCAAGCTCTAAGATACAACCGCATTTGCTCCAATCCCTCAGACAGAGACAAACACCTACAAGATCTCTATCATGCATTCTTAAAACTACAATACCCACCTGCTGAAGTGAAAAAACAGATTGACAGAGCCAGAAGAGTACCCAGAAGTCACCTACTATAGGACAGGCCCAACAAAGAAAACAACAGAACGCCACTAGCCATCACCTTCAGCCCCCAACTAAAAACCTCTCCAGTGCATCATCAAAGATCTACAACCTATCCTGAAAAATGATCCCTCACTCTCACAGATCTTGGGAGACAGACCAGTCCTCACTTACAGACAGCCCCCCAACCTGAAGCAAATACTCACCAGCAACCGCACACCATACAACATAAACACTAACCCAGGAACCTATCCTTGCAACAAAGTCAGATGCCAACTCTGTCCACATATCTATTCAAGTGACACCATCATAGGACCTAATCACATCAGCCACACCATCAGGGGCTCGTTCACTTGCACATCTACCAACGTGATATATGCCATCATGTGCCAGCAATGCCCCTCTATCATATACATTGGCCAAACCAGACAGTCTCTACACAAAAGAATAAATGGACACAAATCTGACATCAGGAATCATAACATTCAAAAACCAGTGGGAGAACACTTCAACCCGTCTAACCACTCAGTGACAGACTTGAAGGTGGCAATTTTGCAACAAAAAAACTTCAAAAACAGACTCCAAAGAGAGACTGCTGAACTTGAATTAATATGCAAATTAGATACAATTAACTTAGGTCTAAACAGAGACTGGGAATGGTTGGGTCATTACACTAATTGAATCTATTTCCCCACGTTAAGTATCCTCACACCTTCTATAGGTCAAGTCGATTATCACTTCAAAGTTTTTTTGTTTTTTTTCTCCTGCTGATGATAGCTCATCTCAATTGATTGGCCTCTTACAGGTGGTATGGCTACTTCCACCTTTTCATGTTCTCTGTACGTATAAATATCTTCTTTCTGTGTGTTCCATTCTATGCATCCGATGAAGTGGGCTGTAGCCCACAAAAGCTTATGCTCAAATAAATTTGTTAGTCTCTAAGGTGCCACAAGTACTCCAGTTCTTCTAGTTACAAAAGTGCCATGCGAACACCTGTTCTCACTTTCTGGTGACATTGTAAATAAGAAGCAGGCAGTGTTATCTCCTGTAAATGTAAACAAACTTGTTTGTCTTAGCGATTGGCTGAACAAGAAGTAGGACAGAGTGGATTTGTAGGCTCTACAGTTTTACACCGTTTTGTTTTTGAGTGCAGTTATGTAACAACAACAAAAAAATCTACATTTGTAAGTTGCACTTTCAGGACAAAGGGATTGCACTACAGTACTTGTATGAGATGAATTGAAAAATACTATTTCTTTTGTTCATCATTTTTAGAGTGCAAATATTTGTAATAAAAATAATATAAAGTGAGCACTGTGCACTTTATTCTGTGTTGTAATTGAAATCAATATATTTCGAAAATGTAGAAAAACAATCAAAAATATTTAATACATTTCAATTGGTATTCTATTGTTTAACAGTATGATTAAAACTGCAATACATTTTTTTAATCGCAATTTTTTTGAGTTAATCGCATGAGTTAACTGCGATTGATCGATAGCTCTGATCATTTTTGAAGACGCACTAACATCTCAAAGTCTAGTCAGGTTGAAAAAAGTGTGAAAAGTAGTTTCAAATTGAGTTACCAGGCAGACACACAGAGGGATAGGGGAGTGCGAGGAAGATAAGATGAAGAACAAAAACTTAATACCTATAAAAATGAGAGTTAATGAGAACAAAGTCAAGAGAAAGGACAGAGATAGAAAGGAGAGACCAAGTTTCAAAAAGACAGCTCTTAACACACAAGCCATCTGAAAGAGACAGATGCCTGTTTGGTGCATGGAGTTTCAGAAAAAGGAAAATAATCAGAACAGTGCAAAGAGGAGGGATTAGCAGGAAAGTAGAGCAAGACATACAGCAGGAGTTGGGTAGCAGAGGTTTCAGACAGCCAACTGTTACAGAAGATTAATTAAGTGCTTGAATAATTTACCAAATATCTACAAACCGGGGGAGAGGGGAAGGAGAAATTTACTCAGCACCCCTACAAGAAAGTGGCGATGCTGACTTTCCTACCAGGGATTTACTCTTATTCAGCAGGGATGTGATCTCCTGGAAGGACCCTGCCTGAATAGGGGATTCGAAGCCCCCACTAGTGTCCACACTCCCTGGTTCCTCACGGTTATTTATTGTCATTTTTGGGGTAGAACTGGGGCAAAAGAAGTTTCCTGGAGTCTAAGCCCAGAAGGGACCATTCGACCATCGAGTCCAAACTCCCGTCTACCCCACCAGCCATTAGTCTAAGGTCTCGCTACTCTTTCTCCCAACAACCCCCCCCCCCCCCCCGAAGAGGCCGGGCTATTGTAGCAGGAAACTCACAGCCTTGTCCGCTCAGCTCCGTCGCCGGTTGTCTGTGAAAGCAGCCGCCTGGCGGAGCCCGCCCGGCGAGCCGCGAACGCCAGCAGAGGCACCGCGCTCCCCGCAGACTCGGGGCCCAAGTTAACAATAAACGGGACTCGGTCTGTCACAGCCTCACGGGAGAGGGTAGGTAGCTACCTCCGCCGTTGGGTATCTGTTCAGGCACCGTTGTTGAGCTGGGGCGAGCAGCACCGGGCGCTCCTCACCGCTTTCACTCCGGCAGCTGCATCACCGACTTGGCTACAGCTTCCTCACGCGTCCGCGCCAGCCCGGGAGGCTCTTTAACTGCCACGCCCTCTTTCCCCGTGGCTGCCCAATCGCCGCGCGTCGATTCTCACGCCCGGCCAATCGCGGCTCGCCTTCGCTCTCGAACGGACCAATCAACACTGGTCCGCTTCACAAATTCGAACGGGTTCCTCCTCCCACCTCCTCCTCCTCGAGTTGTTAAGCTCTATTCAAACTAATACGGCGGGTGGGGCGGGGCTTGAGGGTGACAGCGGGAGGTCAGGCAAGGACGGGCAGCCGCGCGTGCGTGGTGAGATTTTTCTGTTGGGGCGGGAGATTGAACCACAGGGAGAGGGTGTCTGTTTCCGGGTTAGAGGTCTCGCGCTGAGTAGTCTTCTGTCGCCATGGCGAGCGGCGCAGCCAATTTAAACGCGGTGAGAGAGACGATGGATGGTGAGTCCCAGGAGGCGCCGCTTATGGGTTCTGTTACGGTCGCCTCGGGTGCCCGACCCGCGCAGCTGTCGGGGGGGGGCGGGGGGGGGGTGTGACCTCGATGGGTGGCGGTGGCGGCGCTCCCGTCCCGGGCCCCAGGTTATCCCCGCGCGGCCCCCCTTGCCTGAGACAGGCCCCCCGCCTCCCTCCCCAATGCCCCTGTGTTCTGTCCGGGTCTGGTAGCGTGACCGTTCAGCTGCCTCCCTTGCGGGGCCGCGCGTGTCGCCCGGGCTTCTGTTCGCGCGACCTATCGCCGCGGCGGCGCCCGGAGGCCTCCGTCAAGGGCGGGGCCCGAAGCGCTAGGGGACGTTGTATGCGCCTGCGATTGCAGCCCCGCTCCGGGGCCGCGGTGCAGCCGTTAAGGACCGCTACGGGCGGGCGGGAGCATGTACTGAGCCGGCCCAGGAGCCAAGCGCGGCGGTGACACGGAGCTCGCCCCCGTGGTCTCTGCTCTCTACGGCCCGCTGCTGAGAGAAGAACAAAATCACATTTACATGGGGAAAAAGTCAGCGTTGATGTGCCTTTACATCGGGAAAATGAGATTCTCCGGAGAGCCAGGGGTTCTCGGAGTGAGGGTTTCCGCCAGCGCTAATGCTGTGTGTGTTACATACAGTGTGAGGCTATAGCTGCCTGGATTTAATTTTCTCTCTCAAATAAAATGATGCACAAGACTACATTTGTGCAACTTGGCCAAGTCGACTCTGCGATACAAACCGTAAGTAGTTGTCAGATATTGGCGGCTGCTGATTGCTCACCTTCAGGAGCAGTTTGGTTGTGAGAATTGACAAGAAGAATGACATTTTCTAGCTCTATTATTTGCATTGTTTGTGTTCAGTTATGTCTGCTTGCTATTGACAATAATACATTTTTCTACACTAGCCCTGCAGAGCCAGCACAAGAGAGAGTGAATTGGATTCTGTTTCTTTTTACCCAGCAGGATTATTTTCAGACTCAGTTTTGCAGGATTTTACGTGCAACATGTTTATTTTCAATCAGGCCCAAATTATACGTGTTTAACTCTATACAACTGCAATTACTAGCTTTGTGTATTTTGGTGATAATGCATAAGTGGAACAGAACATTCAACTTTCTATTCCCAGGCTGTACTTCTAGAGATGACAGAAAATGTATCCTTCTAGATCTAGTTAAGTAATCAAATAATTTAGGTACAATAAATGTGAGACTTGAAGATGGTCCCTCTCTTTTTTTGCAGTCACTTTTCAAAGTAGAACTAGAACTTAATGTTGTACCGACGCTAACACTTCTAATAAAATTACTTTTTTTTCCTGTCAGTAGTAAGATACAGGAAAATAACTGAAGATTATTTCCTTCATGTACAGTAATCCTGTTTGCAGTGACTCCAAATGAAACGCTGAAGTTCTTTTCCTTAACCACAGATCTATAAACTTTTTTTTGGGGGGGGGGCGACAAATGTTGACATGAAAATGGAAAACTGTTGTATATCCTTTAATTCAAGCTTTTTCATTACTATTACGTTAAGAATATTTGTTTGGCGATGTTACGGAGTGCACAGGGTCGATGCTCTGGAACCACTCAGAATGAAGTTCAGAGGAATACCCTCTGGTGTATGACACCGCTCAGGGCACACTCTAACTAGGGCAACCCTCCTTTGCCTCAGCGCTTCCTAGGGTCTGATCTCTGAGCATTCAGCACCTCTGCTCACAGCGTGAGCTCCTCACAGTGAGTCCACTGGATAGGACACCTGGGGAAACCTTCCATCCCCCCTCCCAATGGGGCCATGCACCCCATCTTTGCAATTATAAGTGACTCAGCCAGTGAGGTAAAACAGAAGGGTTTATTAGTTGACTGGGACACAGTGTTGAACAGATCTTGTTAGTACAGAAACCCAGCGATGTCCATCTTGGGGAATCCAGAGCCCTGGACTCTCCTATGTGAGACTGACTCATTTCCAGTAGCCAACCCTCAGTCACAACGAGTTGCCTCTCCTCCATCCTTTGTCTCTTTCCCAGGTTTTGAACTCTCGCTTTGTTCTCTAACACCTCTGGCTGGCTCTTGCAAAGGATGGGCCCTGGCTATCAGTTGCCAGGATATAGTGTTAGTTATTGTCTGGGCCAGGCAGCCAGACAGCAGTCACACCTGCCCTCTAAGGGTCTCTGCAACGATCACACACCCTTGTACCATCACCTAGATCAGAGGTGGGCAAACTACAGCCTGCGGGCCACATCTGGCCCGTAGGACGGTCCTGCCTGGCCCCTGGCCCGGGAGGCTAGCTCCGGGCCCCTCCCCCACAGCCACGGGGCCGGGGGATTGGATAAGAGGCAGGGAGTCCCGGGGGGCGGTCGGGGACAGAACAGGTGGGGTTAGATAGTGGATGGGGTCCTGGGGGGTGGTCAGGGGACAAGGAGCGGGGGGGGGGGTTGGATGGGTGGAGAGTTCTGAGGGGGGTGGGGGCCAGGCTGTTTGAGGAGGCACAGCCTTCCCTACCTGGCCCCCCATACAGTTTTGCACCCCGATGTGGCCCTCGGGCCAAAAAGTTTGCCCACCCCGACCTAGATACTTGAGTAACACATAGGGGAAACTGGGGCACACACACAGTATTCAGATAAAACATTAAGAACATTTCCACTTCGTCACAGAGGGCATGTAATTCTTTTTGCATTCCCATTTATGAATGGACAACAGACTGTCAAACGTTAATGGTCACAGTTGGCATTATTTTGTCCTCTTTAGTCTTCACGTTATAAAGAATTAAGTATGGTCAGATTTAACTATTTTTGTGTTTAATGTGCGTGACTTTTAAAATTAGTAAAATATTCTTAATCTTAATTTATGAAAAGAAAAATTGAAAGTGAGGAAATGCATAATTAAGGCTCTACAAACATCCTTAACTCTGCTACTATATGTAGAGCCCTGCCTGGATACAAATTTACTACCTGAGGATGCAGATATAAATCGGTATCCACAGAACCACAGGGCTCTCCTGGGAACCACAGCGGTGAAAGGAGCAAAACGTGGGGGTGCCGCTCCCAGGAGCCAGCGCCCCGCACCAGCAGCTCCTCCAGCGCAGCTGTACTGCCCCGCCCACTGGGGCGGGCACCAGGCTCACCAGCAGCTGTCCCTCTTTGTGCTCTTTTGGTCATCCGGCGTGCACACCCCCAGACAGGAGATGCTGATAGCTGCGTGGAAGGGCTGGGGGCAATACAGCTGCGCTGGTGGTGCTGCCGGTGTGGGACGTTGGCTCCTGGGAGCAGCGGCCCAATGTTCCATTTCTTTTGCCGCTACGGTTCCTGGGAGAGCCATGCAGTTTTGTGGATACTGATTTATATCTGTGGATATACATTTGTATCCACGCAGGGCTCAAGCTATATTCCTGATGACCTTCAACCTATAGACCAGAAACCTTTTTCCACCCATCTACCTTCTCAATTTTTTATGGAACATACAAAACCCAATGATAGATGAAAAATACATGGTTAAAAATGAAGTTTTAGCATCTCCATAACATTGTTGATCATTTACACCTGTATATAATCAAGAAAAAAATCACAAGAGCATAATTATAGCAGATACCTGAGAGCTGTGTGTGTGTTGTATGTCATAAAGCAGAGTGACTTAACTGCATTTATCAGATGGGCAGTCTGGTTCGATTACTAAACATGGGTTAATACTTTTGGACGATCAAAACAATTAATTTTTTTTAATTAAAGGTTTCTTTAAAAAAAATCTCTCAAATTGGGGAAGGTATTATATTCCTAAAATTCAGTAACTTGCATTAGCTTACACCGTTCAGTGTGCAGTAACTGAAAGTGACAAGTGATTTTTAGCTCAAGGGTGGGCAAACTACAGCCCACAGTCCACTTCCGGCCTATGAGACATTTTTATCTGGCCCTCGAGCTCCCGTCAGGGAGCGGGGTCGGGGGCTTGCCGCGCTCCCAGCCCCTGACTCAGTGATGAGCAGTTTGAGCACCATCTTCCTGGAAGATTCTTCTGGCACACAGAAGAACCACATTGTGCAGGTGTGACTTCACCAACCCTACATGGCAGCACGCCAAATTCCCTCCTAGTCTCCTATGGCCCCACCCTCAAGAGCCTCAAGTGGAGGGAAACCACCCGGGGCTGTAGCTACACCCGGCCTAGTTCGGGTGCCTCCGCACGTGGCACAGCTGCCTTGGTGTCACACTGCCAGCAGAGCCCCTAGGAGTCCCTGGTATCGCCCCTATAGAGCTCCCCATGTGCCACACCTCATGAGTCCTCTCGCCCCACCTCGGTAACATCCCTTACTATATACAAACTATTAATGAAATCAACAGTGCAAACAACTCAAAGTACAACAGTAAGAACATTTTGGGGGGGAGTCTGGGGCATAAAGTTACAGGTGAGTTTACACTTGCCTCTGCCTCTTCTTGTCCCCATGGATTGTGGGATAGAGTGCCATGGCTCAAAATTGTCGGGGGCACTGACGCCTGATAAATCCAGGCTAGAGAGACAGCCCACACCAGTTTTTTCACAGTGCATGCCATCTTGTAAAAGAGCAGTTTGAAATAAGGGCAGCAATTAGGATTTTCTTTTCCCTTTCAAAAATGAGTGCTGCAAAAAAAAGAAAAGAAAAGAAAAGTGGACAGTGACTGTTGGGTTTTCAACAAAGAATGGAATGCAAAATATTTTTTCACAAATGTGGACTCGAAGGCTGTACGCCTGATTTGTCAAGAGAGCATTGCGGTGTTCAAGGAGTACAATTTGAATCATAATTTTTCAACGAAACATCCTAATTATGGCAACTATTTAACAACTGAGGAAAGGGCAAGAAAAGCTGAAAAACTCGCCACAAACTTAAAAACTCAGCAAAATATATATGTATGACAAGCTGAAGTTCAAGAAGCCACTAGGCAAGATATGTTCTGGCGTTTAAAATTGCTAAACAAAATAAGCCTTTTGCTTTAGGGGAATTTTTGAAAGAATGCATGGTTGATATTGCTGGC